TCTCAAAAGCAAAACACTGTGGTGCATAACCTAACTCCCTGATAACTCTGCGCCGTTGCCCATGTCATGCGTGCCTGTGATGCAGAGTGAGTCTTCATGGAATCCTAAAGACACTTCAGCCAGCCAAATGTATTCTGCATACCAAATAAGTCCTGTTGCCCTCAAAATTAAACCGTAGGTATATCCATCCCATCTCAGTTTCATATCATACATTGCACGTAGCTTGCTCTCACATCACCACGCCCACAGGTGTGCCCTCGCTTAGGCACCGTTTGTTTGAAACGATTGAATAAATTAGTAAAAGAATAGCTCTTTTCATTATTTAACTTATAGGATCTTTATTATAATTTATATAAAAATTAATTTTTAATAATAAACTTAACTTCAAAAGTGTATATCTTACTATATATAACTTAAGCAGTATAAGAATAAAATAAATACTATTACATAGCCTCTTTTTTAAGCTATATAAAGATATATTTTTTACATTTTTTATATAGCTAGTTAGTAGAAATAATTAGGCTTTTAGTAAAATGCTAAGTGTGCAGATAAGGCTTTAATCCCTGACCTAGCTTAGGCACACAACCGGTTGTGCGGGTATGAGATCCCTTAATAGACTGGTCTCTTTGTCAGCACACAGTTTAGTAGCTTGGCCGTATTACCGTCTAATGATCAAAGTCTAACCTTTGTGTCTTGCGCCGTTTGATCCTCCGACCGTCTTACTTGACCGTTTTATAGTCAAACCATACGACCGCCGTTCAACTGACTGACCGTTTAGCCATCCTTGTCCTCTCCATTAGTGGTGTTCCTCAATATCAAGGCACGGCGATCAAATAGACAAATCAATCTACAAGTCTTCTTCGCCGGCACAAGTAATCCAAATGCACTCAGCTTGTTTCTGTTGATGTAGGCGCGCCGCGTCTAGCATCAGCAGGTACGCTATGCAAGTCGTTTGACGACCGCATTGCAGTTTGTATCCTCCTCTTCCTCTTCATTGGCCTGCATGGTCAGCGTTCGCGTGGTTCGATCCCACATAGCAAAGATCAAAGCTGTCAAATGGTAGAATGGTCTCTGACCATTCTAAATGTACCGCGAAAGGAGTTGAACTGTTGCCTTCACTGACCTGCAGCTTCCTGAGATTTCGTTACATGGATGGGATTTGTTACGTGGGGGAGGGGGGCGCCAACCAACGGCTCAATGCGAAGCCTCACATGCTGACAAACGACTTTCGAACTCGGTACCCTCAACAATGCAGTGGGCCCGATCTTACTAGACCAATCCACATAACAAAAAAACCTGATACCAACATCCGCTCTCTAAAATCGCTTTTCAGCACAACATTAATTTCATTCATCAAGGATGGATCATCAGAAACACACCTGTTAGCGAGCTCCTACGACAAGCTCAGCGGAAGGCGGAGGAGGCGGAACAACGCGCCGAAACGTCAGAGGCACAAACGCTACCGATGGCGCTTGACGGATACATTGCAGCTTATCACACCTTCCTATTCTCCCGCCTTTCATCGAAACGGATCCAAAGCTAGCTTTGAGGGGCTCCATCATAAGATTCGCGTGATATGTGGTGTCCGACTTCCTTGACCAACAGAAGCTCACCTTCGGCATAGTCTACGAATCGTTTCCCACCGAACGCCCTGTTTTCGGAAACCGAAACTTCCTGGCCGTCCGGGGAACCTGGTCGCTCAACGACCGAATGTGACGAGAAGACGCTCGAATTTTTCCTGCATGATAGTGTGGGGGATCCTGTGAAAGCCATCATAGAAGAACTCAAACAGGAGAAAGAGGTCAGGAGGCGGTTCCAGATTGGAGATGGTGTCATCTTCGAGAACCACCCGCATGCCCTCAGTGACGTTGCGGAGGAAGCCATCGAAGGGGAGGCACAATCAACAGCACAGCGGACGCCGGGCCATCGAAGAGATTTCAAACATCTGCGACCGGATTAGATCTGCGTTTATCGATCCGACAATACTGCGTCTTCCCGGCGCACCATGCTCTACATTTCCGAGTATAAGCCGCCACACAAGCTGAGCTCTGAGTATCTGCGTGCCGGTCTGCGCATCACGGACATGCACGGGGAAGTGGTGAACCGCAGGACGATTCCGACTTCGATAGACCCTGGTGTACGCTTTCCATTACTGCGCAGAAAAGCTGAGCCGCGACGCAGACTTATCATTACATGATCGAAAGTGTCCTTGAATATGGTCTGCTGATTACTGGCGAAGCCATTGTGTTCCTCAACGTGAATTGGAATGACCCTGAGACCCTTTATTATCATCTCGCAGAGCCAGGTCCGGAGGTGACAGCCCATCCAAACAACCTATTCGAAGGGATTCAATGAGTCCGGTATAGGCATTGAGGCTTGCGTCCAGGCTGGCGATCCATTCCACGTCCACCGTCCACGTATCCACGGCGTGGAAATGGATGGTCCGTGCATCCATTTCCATCCATTCCATGGAGTTGG